GATGTTACTCTTGCATCTCAAATCGACGAGAATGCAAGCGAAGTTAACAATTGTAAAATTATTGTTATCAGTTGCAATCTTTATCAAGAAGGAAGTAACATCATCGCTTTGCACCACTTTACAACATTCTATATATGTTTTTAAGGAAACAGCTCCCCTGAGTAACTCCCTGCTCGATTTACATATGAAACTACGGTCGCTTTGCAAACATTCCACGCGGCATAAGGAAATAAAGCAGTAAAATGTCTGTCCTTACCTGCAGATCACGCGCCGAAGAGCGCGCTCTCCTCAATTTTACAAGGATAAAGTCAGCTATCGCTGCTTAAACTACTGATTGGGTGAATGGAGTCTTCACGACTTGAAGTTATAGCGCATTTACAGATTTTTGCACGGACACAAGACGCCTGTGGTGGTACTTAATGCTCTATTGTTTTGATTCCGAGAAAATTGTTTTGACGGTGATGGTTCGTCTTTCTTAGAAAGGCGAGTAAAGTAAAAATGGACTGGACAGTGGACACGAGAAGTGGAAAAAAGAATGATGGAGTGTGGCTTGTTACTGTGTTGAAACTGTCATTCGAATGGTAAATGCTAACTCCAAAGGTGACGGGGAGAGAATTATCTCAGATGTTAGGGTAATATCCCTAGTATTTCACTGCGCACTCTTACTTCGCATAATTTCGTATCCAATTAGGGTCTGCACGTTAGGAACATGACACCTTTTCATTTGCGGCTAAGGTCAACAGAGAGTTTAACAGTCAGTTTTCCGTAAACAACCCTGGTGATCTTTATCCTTCTTTTACTTAAGAATAGCAATGATCAACTTTCTGTAGGCTGACAAGAGCTCCTGAGACGGATTATTAGCAAACGTTCATATCCAAAAAAACAGGTAGTTGCGGAAAACGTGGACTAAGTAAACGAATGCTCGTGAACCCGAGAAACCAGATGAACAACTTGAGCTAGCCTACGCGTAGCCGTACCTTCCCTCTCATTTTTGTCGCCGTGGGGGAAGTGGGGGAGGGGGGGGGGTTACACGTAGGCTAAGAGCAAGCTGACTCGTACATGTGCGCGTTTTTCCATGGAAAGCGCATTAAATTGTTCCTCGTATTTGTCACTTAGCACTTAGCGACTGGCCCCAAGGAAAACAGTGAGTTTGTATTCCCCGAGACCTTCAATGTTCCCCGAGGCGAAGCCGAGGGAAACATTGAGGTCGAGGGGAAAAAAACTCAGTTTCCCCTGGGACCAGTCATTAAGTGTTTTGTTATACCTCCCAACTCAAAATAGAAAAAAATGCGAAGAAATCGTTTGCTTGACCCCGGCTGGCTAACAAATTTGCCGCGGTTTCAAGGAGCACGACCTGATCACGTGCGAGTCGAAAGTTCAAGTTGTTGTTTCCCTAGGGAGTTAGTGTGTTTTGACCCACGACTCATGACACGTTCTCCCTCAATCGGAAAACGTATTTAAGTTGTTTTTTGACCAATTCCTTTAATTACATATAAACATAACAATTAAAGTCTTTTCGTTTTATAAACCCCACCAAATATTTCACGTAATGTTTTCACATATTTTCATCATTTGTCAGTGAGTATTATCTTCTAACTATCAATCTTCATTCCTCTTTCAGGTGTTTTTCGTTACCTGTATGAAGACGTCATTTTGATTTTTCCTTTTGAAGACCAGCTTCTTAAAACAAAAAAACGGTCCCTCCACAACACATTCAAGAAGAGGTAAATGTCCAATACTGAAGGTTTTGCTCGGTGTTTAAGTTGTATAAATATATAAAATAAATAAATAAGTTACAATATTTAGAAAGGAAGCCACATCAGCCTTAGTGGTTTTCATGCAGGTCCTCTTTCCTGGTCGAATTGGAATTTGGATATGTTGGTTTTTTTGTGGAGGGAGGAAAACCGGAGACCCAGAGAAAAACCCTCGAAGCAATGCGAGAACCAACAAAAACCGCAACCCACATATGGCATCTGGCCGGGATCGAACCGGCCTCGGAGGCGAGCGTTCTCACCACTGCGCCATCCATGCTCCGTATTGTATCATCCCCTGCTCTGTATTGCGCCATCTCTGCGCTGTATTATTATTTCTCGCCGAATGAGTTGCCTTGGTACCTGCAATAATTACTGTCTCGTTATTACTGCCTCGAGTCTCGTTATGCAAAAAGATGTCCTTTACCCCCGTCAACTCAACATGGCTTAGCACTTACTGTTTTTGAGTTATTTTCTTGTAAAAAAAAATACCTCTTAGTCGGCGTGTCGGGTATGTTATGGACGGGTCA